CGACGAATGGGATGAAAGCGTTGTAGGAGAACCACCCGGTCAATTGGCTTCGGTGGTTCGATGTTCGACGACGAAACAAAGTCAGGCCAAAAGGCAGCACTCTAAAGATCAATTGGTAAGGAAAAAGAACAATGCAAGCTCTAAGACGTGAGCAATTGTAAACTGATCCTATTTTCATTGTCTTTCGAAGGTTGCTGTGTCACATATGTCGCGTGATGAATGTGTAAGCGTACTTCAGGAAACGAAGAACATCATCCCTATAAGCTTCTTAAATAACATTAGTCTTGAAATTAGTCTTGAATTCGATACAAGCAAACTATACTTTGACGCAGACCACTTATCTTTCGAAGATTTCCAACGTCACTGGAAGATGGGCCTTCCGATGGTGATAACTAACTTGGGCAAACGGAGTCAAATTCGGTGGACACCTGAATACTTTATTAATGGTCAAGCAGGACAGATGTGCCGTTGCGTTAATTCTAATGTACAAGGCGAGGAACTATTGATGAAAGTTGATGAATTTTTTGCTGGATTTGATGACCACAGTCTCCGCAAAATCTCACCGGATGGAACTCCCGTATGTCTGAAGCTTAAGGTTTGTAATCGTATGAGCGCGTGAAATGAAATCCCGCCGTTTCTTGATTAACTCAACCTTCCGTTATGATTAGGATTGGCCTTCTGATGCCGACTTTAAAGACAAGTTTCCAGATTTGTTTGAAGACTTTTTCCGCTCTATACCGTTTCCTGAATATACTACGCGTGAAGGTACATTAAACCTTGCTAGTCGTATGCCGATGGACTTTGTTCGACCGGATCTCGGTCCCAAGATGTACAATGCGTATGGCTCTAGCGACAAAGCTTATGGGAGAGGCACTACGAATTTACATCTAGACATGACAGACGCGGTTAATTTAATGATGTATGCAACTCCGCTCGAACAACGTCCTGAACACGAGTTACGAGAAAGAGAGGATCGTCCCTCGACCAACCTTCGTGAAGATTCACCAGCTGCAGTGTGGGACTTGTATCTCCCCGCAGATCTACCTAAGCTTCGTGAATTCCTTCGTGGGATTGCTACGGAACAAAATGTGCGGGTAGATGATCCAATACACGATCAATGCTTCTTTGTCGATAATCGGTATCGGGAACGTCTCAAGCAAGAATATGGAATTAGCGGTATACGCCTCTATCAGAATCCTGGTGATGCAGTATTTATACCCGCTGGATGCGCACATCAAGTGTGTAATTATACATCTTGTGTTAAAACAGCGGTGGATTTTGTTTCTCCTGAAGGAGTAGAAAGAAGTATGTTGGTTAGCAATGAGTTTAGACAGTTAACAAGAAACCATAAGAGGAAGGAAGACATCTTGCAGATTAAAAACATGATATTTCATGCTTGGAAGGATTGTCAGAAGTATTTGAAGGATAGAATAGAATCGAATCGATAGTTTGAATGGATAGACGGAGGCATAGTTAATTTGTTGTTAAAAGTAATCCCTTTTTGGATATGCTTGTATTTCACTCTATTTTCGATTGATTTATTATTTCAATTGAGCTGTACATATTTAATAGAAAACACTAATTGTTCTTCAAAGTTATCACTTTACTATTAGATTGGACAGTACTATTACAGTATACATAAACTGCTTTATCGATCATCGCTGCTCGACGGAAGGAATCATAATATAATGATTTTTGTAGTTCTTGCCGCGTTTACCATTAAAGGAGATACTTTGATATGCTTTCTCACGCAATTATAGGTATGTTATTAAATGACCAGATTATACTATCTGCCTCATCAAAATTTACCTAATAAAAACAAACATCACAGAGCATGTCAATGCTATCCTGGCAAGACGAACCCTTTAGACAAGCCAGAAATCTGGCTTGTTTGCTCATTTCTGTCATATAGTACTAGAATGACTGTTAAGATTTGATCGCTTGGTTCTTTGTCGGATGCTCTCATGAGGCACGGGCTCTGGCTGGTTTGATCTTGTGTTTAACCGTGTAAAGGTGGAAGAAAAAGATAAGATTACGTCTTATTTTGTAATTTAATCTCTGAATCGTGCTGTCTTGCTGGATCGGCAGGAAAATAGCAATCGCAAACATGACGAATTCTTATTGGATGTCGTATCTATTTCTGTGGCGTTTATTCTGTCCGACGAAGCCCAGATTTTTTAGTACGACACTGACAATCTGCTTTGTTCTACTTAATAAGAATCTGACGAAGGAATGACTACAGCGGATTTGACCGTACACCTGTCAAACGAATTAAAGTGCTTGTACGAAGAATCATTCAATACAGATGTTACTATTCAAGTTGGAGAAGAAGGACACTCAAAAATCTTCCATGCACACTGGTTGATTT